AGATAGAAGGATGGTTGGATAAATGGTTGGTTAGATATATGAATGGTTGGATAGATGGTTAGTTGGTTGAATGGTGGGTTGGATGCATGGTGGGTTGGATAGTGGGTTGGTTGGTTGGTTGGTTAGATAGATGGATGGTTGGATGGTTCGTTAGACAGTTGGTTATATAAAAGGATGAATGGTTAGAGGGTTGGTTAGATAGATGGATGGTTGGATAAATGGTTGGTTAGATAAATGAATGAATGATTAGAAGGTTGGTTAGATAGATAGATGATTGAACAGAGAAGCACCGTTTTCAGACCTTCCGGCGTATTTGGCATGTTGGGCTAGTCCGATATTATATAAACAAACTGGCACTCGGCTGGGGATGTGGTCAACATAATATTAGCCGCCTTTACTTCCCAGGACTGTCCCTGATACCCATTTAAGGCTGGATCTCCCTGGTAGCCAGTGTCATTTTTGTTTAAAGTCCGGCTCCCTCAGGTCCTGAATCTACGATCTTCGTATCCGCAAGCGAGCGTCTAGCCACTACACCACGGCGGCTCCAGAGACACCAGAATTGCAGGCAGTCTCCGTGACGTAGTTAGCACACCGCCTGCCTCGCGCGCTGAAGATCGTGGGTTCGTGTCACGGATTACGTCACGTTCAAGAGTGCATTTTTTTAACTTGAGACTCTGTGGTATTGTCGCTGGTGCTATGGAGCTCGTGCTTTGTGAAACGCTCTCGTGAGGTGGCTAGTGTTTTTCAGTGAGAGAGAGAGAGAGAGAGAGAGAGAGAGAGAGAGAGAGAGAGAGAGAGAGAGAGAGAGAGAGAGAGAGAGAGAGAGAGAGAGAGACGAAGCCATGAAGATAACCCGGTGCCGTGAAGTGGATCGCCTCGGCTTTAACTTTCACATATTTCTGACTTTATTTACTGTCCCATATTATGCTCGCACTTCAGTTCTTAAAATTGTTTTAACAGCCTATCCCCTCCTCCCCCACTACTTCTCCGCTTTTTATATCCCATACCACTTCTGGCCGTCCGCTTATTTAATCCGCCTACAGCTTCAGTTCAGTTAGCAACCACCCAAGAACAGTTACCACACAGTTGTGTAAGTATCTAACATTTCACGCAGTCTGAAAGTTAGTTGTGTATCCTTTACAGGACGTTCCAAAACTAACCACAGTATTTTTCGGCTGTTTCTGTTTTTCTAAGAAAAGTTTACGTCAAGTGGTTTGCCACTACTTCTTCTCGGTACCACTGTCGAGCCCAACGCAAGACATACCGTCCGCAGCTGAAATCGAACCAGGCACCCCAGCATTACAAAGCTCATTTACAACGCCTATGCCACTGACGCCGACTTATATCTACTCGTTTCAAATCTATCCAAGTTGTCGCTTCTATCAACAACTTCCACAGTTGAGTAAGTATTGTACATTTCACTCAGTCTACTTGTTTCAAGTTTAAGCCAGTTATTTCACGTAATATAGTTAGACTATCCTGTAGTTGTTTTCGTACTATTTATTTAAAAAGTTGTTTCAATGCAGGAGCAACCTGATCACCTAGGATCTGTCCAGTGTGTCTTAAGGGTCACTAGAGGAAACATATTTTGTTTTTACTTACAATTTTAGACCAATTATTTTATAATGGTCATTTGTAGTGATGTATGTTGATATATTTGTAGACTTAAAGTGTTTAAAAAAAAACATGGTTGCTATGGTAACAGCCGCCATTTTGATGAAAAAACAACATGTACTGAGGCAGCTAAAATTTCAAAAACAAACTGAGGTATTGAGAAACAGATGATTGATTCATGAACTTTAAACCTATGTTTAGGGTCAGGTCTAGTTTATTTACTTCAAAGATTTTTCTAAATATTTTGTTTAGAATAATTAAATTTAGGTATGTTGAAAAAAATACAAAAATGTCGCTTTTTAATATAATAGTCAATTTATTTTTTAAAATTACTTAATAAACTGTAATTTCAAATAAACCTGACCTTATAATATTGTGTTAGGAGTATCCACACAAAATTACACGTCTCTAGTTGGTATATTAGCTGAGATTTTAGGAGATCGCACACACAACAAACAGAAAAATTGAATTGTTAGAAAAGTGATTTTTAAACTTTTTTTTAAATCCTAAAAAAGTGCATGGGTTGTTTGGTGTCTTTAGTATTAACTTTTCAATGCTAAATTGTTTACCAATGACAGAAATTTTGTGTGTAATCTATTCTACGAATGCCGAACATTACAAAAATGAACATATTGAAAAAGTGATATTTTTGTCATAAATTGGAGAGAAAAAAAAAATGCCGTGTATTCTCACAACTAATACTGTATTAGGTACAACGACATCAAACATGTTTCCAAACAGAGATGTTTAAACTGGGGGCCTGGGGCCGCAAGGATATTTCGGGGGGGGGGGGGGGTGAAGCAATTTTGAAAGTGAATTTTTTTGTTCTTGTGATAATTCGTTATAATTATACTTACATTTGGTTTAGTTTAGTTATAAAGAATATTTTTGTACAAATAATTTTATTAAACAGAACAAGCAAGTACATTTTTGTTTGATTAAGAAGTTCATACGTCTAACGTTAAAAAATCTAATTAATATGATAATATTTAGCATTTAATTATAGATTAATAACACATATTCTTACCAAAACGTAGCTCCATACTTTCTGTTTCGTTTGTTAGGGAATCTATTTTCATTCTAATTTTAATAACATTTGGTTTTGCTGGGGCCGGGGGGGGGGGGGGGGGGGGGGCGGGCGTGGTGGGGTCTTGCCGTATACTCAAGGGGGCGTGGGGGTCTTGTATACTCATTGAGGGCGTGGGGAGTCTTCATAAAATACACAGTGTGCTTTATAGTATTGAAAGATTTTTTTTTTCGAATTCACTTTACGCAGCGGTATGAGGCACCATTCTGGAAATCATTTTTGTTTCCTCTACTACTGTAATAGACACTTTGTGGTAAGCGCTGGCACCTGTTTCTCCTAGAAAGAAAAGCCCTAGTTTGTTTTTTAAACATAATTTTCTCTTTCACATTGTCTTCACTTGTTTCAAGTGTATTATATAGCTGATGAAGGCTTTTTCGATGTAACATCCTCCCGTTGTTTTGACGCATTGTATCGCATGTGCCACTAACCTTTCACACCTTGTGTTTTTCCCGACCTCTTTTTTTAGAATATTCAACCAAATCGTTTTCGGCTCCCTGGGCGGTTTCTCTGCAATTTCCGTTTCCTCAAAAACGAAACGTCAATACATAGCAACTACTGTACGGAAACCACACAGCGCAAAAAAAAAAGGTGTGTCGTATGGGTAAGATCAATACCGCGTTCACTGCCAACTGTTTTCTGTCCAAAATGTTTCGCCGGGTTTTTCCCTGACAGTTCGCGCCGTCACTAAACTTGTACATGCCAGCATAGTGTTCCTGTTCTGTGGGAGTGATTTTTGGTGGTGACACGTGATCGTGGCAGACAGATTTGTGTATGCCGTTGTGTGCACTGCACAATCAATTCAAAGACACGTTTGTTGATGAAATATTGTTTTTATTTATTTCTTAACCCCTCTCCCCCTCCCCAACCCCACCCCTGCTTTTTTTTCAATTTGGTTTATGAAAGGTGACGTTAAAATCAAATTAAACTTTAGAACTTTTTTTTCTTTTATCCATTCTCTCTCTCTCTCTCTCTCTCTCTCTCTCTCTCTCTCTCTCTCTCTCTCTCCCTCTCTCTCCCCCTCTCCCCTTCCCACCCTTTTTATACAAATGCAACGTTAATATTCAATGATTAAAACCTTAGTAAGAATCTCTTTCTTGCTGTTTCTCTGCCATCCTTTCTGTCGGTGTAGGTGTATTTTTATTTAAACTGTGGTGCTCGCATTTACTTCCAGTATGTGTTTCTCTATACCCGTCTGCTTGCATATTTACCCACTAACAACCTGTTAGTTTTGGGTGTTCGTCCACCTCTGGAGGTCAGTCTTGTTCCAGAACCTGAGTGTTGCATGCACATCCGTTTCACAGTGTGGGCTTATTTTATGCAGTCTCTTGATTTTTTGTTTATGCCTTTGAGGCAGATGTAATCCAATTTCGAAGGCAGCCCCCTCCCCCGCCCAATTAGTCGACTCTTACGACATGCTTGTTTTGAAGGCAGTGGGTCCGTTCTTGTCTCTCTCCCCCCCCCCCCCCCAGTGGGGCTCTGAAACCCACACGGGGAGCCATTCTGTCGAGAGAGCCGAAGCCATACTGGCAAATCCGTGTGCAATGAAATCGATCCCCTCAACTTTGGACTTTACCTAATCTAGCAATACTTTACGTTTTGTTGAAAATTATTTCACGCTTGTCTTAGGATATTATCTTATTTATTCTTGTTTCTACAGGGTGTTTGTAAAGTCCCCCTTCGCTTTGTATGCAAAACAAATTTGAACCTAAATAAAACAAATAAAGTACATGAATTCATAAAAAATTACTCCACAGTCAATCGTGAAGCAAGGTGCTGTGAATGACTGTCGTCTGCTGGAGTAATTCTTTACACAGAATGAGGTTATCAAAGTTGGATTTGGAGGGATGGGGGGTGGGTTAACATGTGCTTCCAAATGGCAGTCGATACACACGGATGATATTTGACGAATAAAGAGACGTGTACAGACATGCCCTGAAGGCCGTGGTGGACATTTCCAAGACCTTGCATGTTGAATGTTGAATTAAGAATCCACATCACAGACGTCATGTGGTTTTTTAAACTGGTTTTGCATTCGAAGTGTAGTGAGACTTTAATAACACCCTGTAGTTGCATCATTGATACTTTGTGTCATATGCTGATGAAGGTTTTCTAGCCGCAAGTTTTTTGTTTTGTTCTAGATTGTGGTATCGTGAAACATGTAGGTTTGATATATTTTTTTCAAAAGTTTGGCCATGGTTAAATATTCCACAGGAAGGCTTGAAGAGTAAGGACGTCCCACGATTAAGATCATTTTTCCCGTGCATGCTGTCAGAGATTTGACTGACCACCACCCAACGCC